GAGCTTTCATTATTGGAGGAGGGAGCTGAATCTAGCAGATAAACAGCTTACAATTCAGTGTGAGAAATACAAAACTGAAGACACATAGGGTACCAAGCTTATGTGCGTGCGTGCTTAGTCGCTCAGTCGTGTCTGACTCTGCAACCCCATGGACTATAGCCCACCAGGTTCTTCTGTCCCTGGGGATTCTCCAGGCAAGAATACTGGAGCGACATTATCAGAGAAATGCAAATCAAAACCACAATGAGGTACCATTATACGCCAGTCAGGATGGCTGCTATCCAAAAGTCTACAAGCAATAAATGCTGGAGAGGGTGTGGAGAAAAGGGAACCCTCTTACACTGTTGGTGGGAATGCAAATTAGTACAGCCACTATGGAAAACAGTGTGGAGATTTCTTAAAAAGCTGGAAATAGAACTGCCATATGACCCAGCAATCCCACTTCTGGGCATACACACCAAGGAAACCAGATCTGAAAGAGACACGTGCACCCCAATGTTCATCGCAGCACTGTTTATAATAGCCAGGACATGGAAGCAACCCAGATGCCCATCAGCAGACGAATGGATGAGGAAGCTGTGGTACATATACACCATGGAATATTACTCAGCCATTAAAAAGAATTCATTTGAATCAGTTCTAATGAGATGGATGAAACTGGAGCCCATTATACAGAGCGAAGTAAGCCAGAAAGATAAAGACCATTACAGTATACTAACACATATATATGGAATTTAGAAAGATGGTAACGATAACCCTATATGCAAAACAGAAAAAGAGACTCAGATGTATAGAACAGACTTGTGGACTCTGGGAGAAGGCGAGGGTGGGATGTTTCAAGAGAACAGCATTGAAACATGTATATTATCTAGGGTGAAACAGATCACCAGCCCAGGTTGGGTGCATGAGACAAGTGCTCGGGCCTGGTGCACTGGGAAGACCCAGAGGGATCGGGTGGAGAGGGAGGTGGGAGGGGGGACTGGGATGGGGAATACATGTAAATCCATGGGTAATTCATTTCAATGTATGACAAAAACTACTGCAATGATGTAAAGTAATTAGCCTCCAACTAATAAAAATAAATGGAAAAAAAAGAATACTGGAGCGAGTTGCCATGCCCTCCTCCAGGGGAATCTTCCCAACTCAGGGATCGAACCCAGGTCTCCGGCATTGTAGATGGATTCTTTACCATTCTTTACCACCAGAGAAGCCCAAGAATACTGGAGTGGGTAGCCTATCCCTTCTCCAGGGAAAATTCCCAACCCAGGAATTGAATCGGGGTCTCCTGCATTGCAGGTGGATTCTTTACCAGCTGAGCTACCCAGGAAGCCCTAACTAATCTTACACTGGAGGAAATAAAGGAAGACTTCCTAAAAGAATCAACCTGGAATTGTGATCTCAGGAACAACAGGACTTAATCAGTGGATGAGGGAATGAGCAAAGTCCCAGGGGCTGGAGAGCATATGGCATATTTGAAAGCATGGAGAATATAAAGTTACATGCAGGGGTGAAGGAGAGAAATGTTTTTGTTTTTGTGTTTTTTAGGGAATAAATGAACAGGAAAAGGATGTGGCTTGAGGTTAAAGGGGTAAGCAAATGCAACATCACGGAAAGTCTAGCAAACCATGTTACAAAGTGTGACCTCTATCTTTATGGAAATAGTCATTGAATAATTTTTAGCAGGAAAGTGGCATGATTGAATTTGTTTCTGGAGGCCACTCCAGTTGCTATGTTGAAAACAGATTGAGAAAGACAAAGTCTGGAGTTAGGAGATTAAAACTCTAAAGCAGGATCTATGTAGCTATCCAAGAAAGAGACAATGGTCCTCTGAGATGATGTACTGGCTGTGGAATGTACAAGAGGGCAGATTCAAGAAAATTCTAGAAGGTAGAATTGACAGGACATGGTGACAGAGATTATGTGGATGGTACAGGAAACGAGAGCGGAGACTTTAGCCTGACACTGAGATTGCTCAAGTCTCTGGCTTGGACACTAGGTTGATAGCGGGGTCATCTATTGAAATAGGGGACCTAGAAGGAAGAACAAAATTTGAGTCTAAGATCTGGAAGTCAGTTTGGGACATGTTGACCTGAGGTGTGTAGTGGACACTGGTGATGGCCTAGTCGTGTCCCTGAGGCCTATGATTCAAGGACATGAGTTTGAGCAAACTCCGGGAGATAGTGTAAGAAAGGAAAGCCTGACATCCACTGGGTCACAAAGAGTCAGACATGACTTAGTGACTGAACAACAAGTTCCTGTATATGAAGAAAGCGTCTGCATCTCTCTGTCTGAGGTCATTCCTTGCTCACTAACGTGAGTTTTGCTGCAAGGCATGTGTAGTCAGCTCCAAAGCTCCAGGGAGCTGATGTCCCAAGAGTGACCAACTCCAGTGAGGTATAGGAACTAATGAATCACAATCCCAGCTATCTTTCTCCTTTTTCCTCCACCACACAGCTTTTGTGATCTCAGTTCCCCCATCAGAGATGGAACTTGGGCCCTCAGCAATGAAACTGCAGAGTCCTAACCACTGGACTGCAAGGGAATTTTTCTTGTCTTTCTACACACCACTTCTGAGGCATTTTCCACCCAGTGTCTAGAGGGTCCCATGAGACTAAGCCTCAGGTATCAACCATGATAGCTGTTCATTGACACATCCTCTGCTGATTCTCTTTCTTTTCCTGTCTCATTTCTCATTCCCTTAGAAGGCCTCCAGAGATCATCTCCCCCACAATAAACCATCTGCACCCATACTGGAGTATCAGAGTCTAAGATGAAGGTGTTTTTGAAACAACCAAGTGGAATTTCAGAAGGCACATGGATATGAAGATTGGAAACTCAGGTGGAAATTTTGGGCTGGAAGATATTTAATATTTAGGAGTCACCAACATATGCTTTCTCATTGAGATAGTGGATGTAGATGATTTTTAATAGTCTGTAGAAGAAGTGGAAGGCCAATCGTAAGTATTATTTAGGGGAAAGGCAAGGGAAGCACTGACCTCAAATGGGAGTGAAAATGAACATCCAGAGAGGCTGAAGGAGAAGTGGGGAAGTGTAAAACCACACAAATCAAAGTAAAATTATCTTAGGACAGAGGAGTTATCAGAGATCTCTGAGAGAAGAAGGCAAAAAATAGTCACTGGATTTAGATACAAGGAGGTAATTGGTGACCTTGGGAAACACAAATTCAATACAACGTGAGGCAAAAACATCATAGATTAAGTCATGAATGAGAAGTGAGGAAAGTCTGGGCAGAGAACGTAGACAATAGCTGGAGAAATCTGCTGAAAAGAGAAGGGTTTCCTGTAAAGCTCCTTCAAATTTCTGCCTAACTTCCTTTCCTGCCTCCTTGGATTTGTGATTTCATGCAGCTGAACCAGATAATCAGGATAATCTCAGTTCTTTGAAGTCAGCCCCTTGGCAATCTTCATTCCATCTGCATCCTTCATCCCCCCTTGCTATGTACCATCACACATTCACAGGTTCCGAAGACTTAATGGGTTCTTTTTTCATTCCTAGTTCCATTATTAATACTGTGTTATTATAGTGTTGTGTCAAATTCTTCTAGGACTAACCCTTCCAATTTGTGTGATATTCTTATACACAGTAGACTGTTGTATAATAATCTATGTTTGGCCTGAAAACAGTAGTGATTTTATTTATATTTTTATAAGAAACATAAAAATCAAAATTTCAAGTCGAATAGTAAATATATTATGTGGTAGAAAATAAACATTTATAGGAATTTTTCCCTAGCCTTCCTAAAATTGGCAAGATAGCCACTCAAAGATCATGAGGAAGCAATAAATAGGAAACATCAATGGAAGCAGCAGCTACCTATAGGCTCCTGGAGTGTACAGTCAATCTTTTAAAAATTCTTTTCATTTTTATGTGGATCCTTTTTAAAGTTTTTATTGAATTTGTTCAATATTGCTTCTGTTTTAAATTTTGGTTTTTTGGTTGCAAGACATGTGGGATCTTAGCTTCCCGACTAGGCACTGAGCCCCACACTCCTTGCACTGGAAGGTGAAATCTTAGCCACTGAACTGCCAGGGAAGTTCCCAGTTGATCTTTATTAAAGAGTCTTCTCTGGACCAAGCTCAGATCTGGAAAGTTCTTCACTGGCACTATCCCTATAAGGCTTTAATGAGCCCTATTCCACTCTGACTTGGGAGGGAAGAAGAGAAAAGGAAAGGAAGCAGAAAGATGAGTATCATCAATGTGTATAAGGATCCTGGCCCATAAGAAGGGAGTGCAAGGTGGTGGCCAGTTCACAAAGGGGTCACAGCCCGGGCTGTGGGGCTGACTTGTGTGGTAAGAGGTGCTACCTGAAGACTGCTGACTGGCCCCAGCTGATCCCAGCCTAAGGTACACTTCTTAAGCCATCATTCTCTAAGTGGAGAAGTCAAAGTCACTAACAACTCTAGGATGATTAGATTCCCAGATTGATTGGCAGATCACCAAAGGACATGAGGGAACAGGACACCATGCCAACAGGGAAGCAGGCAGCAGACCCTGGGTCACCCTAAACACAGTAGACGAACTGGGCAGTAAAAGGAATTTAAACACCTTCCTGTGAAGTCCCACCCCTTCCTGATCATGTTAATGACTTAGCAAGTGAAAACAGTTCACACGTCCTGAATATGCATTAAGCCTCGCTAAGCCTTTTATTGGGCTTCTCAGGTGGTGCACTGGTAAAGAATCCGCCTGCCAATGCGAGATGTAGGAAACACAGGTTTGATCCCTGGGTTGGGAAGATCTCCTGGAGAAGAAATGGCAACCCATTCCAGTATTTCTGCCTGGAGAATCCCATGGACAGAGGAGCCTGGTGGGCTATAGTCCCTGGGGTTGCGGAGTCGGATAAAACCGAGCATACACACAAGCCTCCTACTAGACGCATTAGAGCCATTATGTGGTTTAATCTTAGCCCAAGTTCAGTAGGCTCCTTTAGCACCTGAAATGAAAAGAGAGAAAACTGAGGCCAGAGAAGCTTGGTTACTTACCTAAGGTCGCACAACTGATGCACTTCAGAGTTGAGTTTCAAACTCCAGACTTTGATTCCAGAGCCTTTTCAACCAGGAAATACTTTATGTAGCTTTCTCTTCAGGGTCATCTCTCCCCCCCTGGATGGATAATTCGAACCATTAGCCCATTTTGCTCTATAACAAGTGGCTTTTCCTAGAGCTATTTGAGTTGAAGTCTACAAGAAATGTGTAAAATAAGTAGGCTATGAAAGAATTACCAGCAGGGGATATATAAGAATGCCAGGGAGCTGTTTTGCTCTTTCCATGTCTTCAAGAAGATAGTTACCTTCCGACTGCTAAGGTGGGAAATAGGGAGAATATGTAATAGTTTACCTCAACAAGTACTTTAGTGTCTCCTCCAGGAACAAAGGTGGCACGTGGTGTTTCACGCCAAGTTTCAGGAAAGCCCGTTTGACTTGATTTTCCTTTCTACTTTAGAGAGACTTGAAGTTGCCAAGCCCGTGTGAGACAAGGAACTGGTGCTGGGATTGCCTTTCAGATCTGACACTGCCCTGGAATCCCTGGCTCTTTACTTCCATTGAGCCATCTTCGTCCTGGAAGCCTGTGTGAGACAAGGAGCTGGTGCTGGGATTGCCTTTCAGATCTGACACTGCCCTGGAATCCCTGGCTCTTCACTTCCGTTGAGTCATCTTCGTCCTGGCACCTGAGGTGTGTTGTAACAGTGAGCCATAAAATTCTGTTACAGGGTGTGTCATGACTATCCACCAATGTCAACTTGGCTGGTGCATTCACATGGGAGGGAAAATATGATGTGTAGCCACCGTATTCCTGTAATGATGAGACTCAAATTATTGAATACTTCCCGACTCTTTCTAAGAGAATCATGGATAGGGTTAGAGTTGTCATGTTGAATAGGACAATATTATTGCAATATCAAATCACCAGCCAAACCCTGCTAACTCTTGGTATGGAAGCAAAATTTAAATGCTAAAATTATGAACTCTAGCTTGGAGATAGCTCTTGCAAGAACCCCCACATTTAAGTGTGTGTGTTTTAACCCAAAACATTTTTAGTTTATATATTATTATATAGTTATTTTAATTTTTTGCTTTTGAGATAAAGTTCTATGAATTTTAACACATGTATAGATCCATGCAACTACCTCCATGGCCAGGATATAGAACTATCCCATCATCCACCCTCCAAAAAAGACTCTCTCCTATCATCCCTCTATAGTCACTCACTCCCAGTCCCTGAAAACCACTTATCTTTCTTCTTTTTTTTACAGTTTGTCTCTGAGAAAGCCATATAAATGGAATCTTACAGCATGTAACCTCTTGAGACAGGCTTCTTTCAATAAGCACAATGCCTGGATGATTCATCCAACTTGTGTGTGTATCAATACTTCCTATCTATTGCTGAGCAGTATTCCATGGTATGAATGAGTCATCATTATTAACCTCTTAAAAATTCATTATATTTTTAATTGAAGCTTAATTCATACACAATAAAATTAACCCCTTTACCTTAGTTTTACAAAAAAAAAAAAAAAATGAAGAAATGAGTCATGTGAACATCCTTACTCCATGAAAAGATAAACTTTAAACTGGAAACAGAGTTTTGGACATGCCATGTTTGTCTGACTTTCTCCAGTAGATGGTTTCTATATTTGGAGAATTGTTCAGTACAGTTCTCTTTCCATCTGCTTGTGCTCATGCTATTAACAAATGTTCACTTCTTTCAACTGATTTCATCGACTCTCCAACATCATGCATTGTCTCTATTCTTTAGTGTTTTTTTTTAATACATAATACCTGTACATTGCACAAAACACAAAATGGTACATACCAAGATAAATAAGTCACACCTACTCTCTATCTCCCAGTAACTCAGTTTCCTTTCTGGAACTAACAGTGTCCTCAATTTTTTTTAAAAAAGTATCATTAGAGGTATACTATGTATTTACAAATATATACATATATCAATGTATTAAAAGTATGTATATAGACATACAAATATAGGTATGCACGCGTACTCAGTTGCTTAGTCGTGTCTGACTCTGCAACCCCATGGACTGCAGCCCACCAGGCTCCTCTGTCCATGGAATTTTCCCGGCAAGAATACTGGAGCAGTTTGCCATTTCCTACTGCCAGGGATCTTCCCAACCCAGGGATCGAACCTGCATCTCCTGCATTCCCTGTATCAGCAGGCAGATTCCTTATCACTAGTGCCACCTGGGAAGCCCCACAAATATATATATTAATATATTTTAATATAAACTATAAATAGATGCATATAAAAATCAATGCATACATATGCATACACACATACATTTTACCCACACACAAATGGGGTCATATTCTACCCAATGTTCTGTACTTTTTGCCTTATTCGTTTAACATCCCTTCTCTTGGAATTCTTTCCAGAAAAGTACACTTAAAGCAGTATAGTAAGTCCATTTTACTCTATTTTTGAGTGTATTATAATTTAAGTATCACATTACTGATGGTCCAGCAAATTTCTAAACTTTGCTCACACAATGAATACGTTATTTGTATCATTTCATTTCATACAGATGGAAGCATCTTTATAGGATAATTTCTTAGAAGTGGAATTTCTGAGTCAAGGGATATATTCATTTCTGTTTTTGAAAGATTTGGCCAAATTATCCTTCAGGGCAGTCACATCAGTTTATATTATATTAGCAATGGATCACAGGGTTTCTACATTTTTTTAGTAACCAATTATTTTAACATGATTTCAGATATTAATGGATATTCAATGATAAGTATCAGAAAATTAGCATTAATAGCTTCTCAATCTTTATTTTTATGACATTAACATTTTTGAAGAGTTTAGGCCAGTTCAAAAACTGTCCTTCAATTTGGGCCTTTATTTTTTTTTAAACAAAGAACCAATTGCAAATAACTCAAAGAAAAATACAAGGAAAACTTTCCAGACGTAGACAAGAACAAGAAAAATAAAATTCACAAATATACTTAGTAAGAATACTTATCATTTTGGGGGGCGGGGATAAGAGGAGAGAAATAAGTAAGGGAAATTAAGAGGAAAAACCTTCCAGTTACAAAATAAATGAATCATGAGTATGAAATGTATAGTGTGCGGAAATAGTCAATAACTATGTAATAACTTGTATTGTGACAGATGGTAACTAGATTTATTGTAGTGACAATTTTGAAATGTATAGAGATACTGAATCACTGTGTCATGTACTAACAGTGTTGTAGCTTCAATTTATTTCAAAAACAAACTCATAGAAAAAGAGATCAGATTGTGGTTACCAGAGGAGGTAAGAGAAAGGAAGAATTGGATGAAAGTTAGTCAAAAGGTACAAACTACCAGTTATACTAACACTGTGATATAATGTACAACTAACTCTGTGGTATGTTATATATACATACTTATAAGAGTAAATCCTAAGAATTCTCATCACAAAGAACATTTTTTTTTCTATTTCTTTAATTTTCTATCTATATGAGATGATGGGTATTCACTAAATTTACTGTGGTCATAATTTCATGATGAATGTAAATCAAATCATTATGCTGTATGCCTTAAACTTATACAGTTATATCTCAATAAAACTGGGGGAAAGAAGAGAAGGAATACTTACCATATTTTGTTTGTTTGTTTGAATACTTATCATTTTTTGAGCACTTTTCAGTTCAGTTCAGTCGCTCAGTCGTGTCCGACTCTTTGCGACCCCATGAATCGCAGCACGCCAGGCCTCCCTGTCCATCACCAGCTCCCGGAGTTTACTCAAACTCATGCCCATGGAGTCGGTGATGCCATCCAGCCATCTCATCCTCTGTCATCCCCTTCTCCTCCTGCCCCCAATCCCTTTGAGCACTTACTACATGGCAAATATTGAGTTAAGTATTTTGCCTAGGGGTAGCAGTGAAGAGTTACTGGATGCTGAATTTGTGCCAAGTGGAGTGCAAAATGTTTTACATGCATTTATCTCCTGTGTTCCTCATAATAACCCTTCAGTGTTCTTCATATAACGCACAAGTAACCTGCAGTACAGACAGGCAGAATCGTTTGCCTCTGGTCACGAAATGAGCTCTCTTCCTGTTCCTTTCCTCCCCTTCTCTTCTTCTCCAGTTAAAAGGTTAATATGCTCATTAAATCCAGGGGGCGTAAAGTAAAAGTGGAGTGCCTGCCGGCCTCCAGAGGTAACCTCTATTAACAACTGGGTGTGTTCATTTCCACACCATTTTCTATTAGAGCCAAGATTTAAATCCCACCTTTTCTGACTCCAAAGCCTTTATTCCTAATGAATATTCAATACTTTCTTCCATAGGCAAATAGCAAATTATATATATATGCTATAAAATGAAATGGCTCTTAAAACTCTTATCAATGGGATTATTATTGAAAAGCAGGAAAAGCTAAAACATATTAAGTACCATCTCTCTGATACAAAGAGCCTTTTTATCCATAGCATAAAGAAGACTAAATTAACTAATTAATTAAAACTAAAAGAGCTTTTGACAAATGACACCCTGCAAGTACCTTTAGTGAACTTGCCACTTAGCCAACTGTTGACTATAAAAATAGAAAAAATAAGGCATGGGACCAAAGAGGAGGAAGAAAAGCAGCTGAAATCGAAAGCAGTCCTGTTGTGCAATAGCTGATCTAGTTGAAGCAGTGCTGCAGAAGAGGCTTGGAGTCATTGGTTCCCACAAAACTCTTGCAGTTTCTAATACTAGATTACCCGTAGAGTACTGACTGTGTGGTATCCCAATGAGGTTATAATGGTGACCAGCAGCTCAGGCATGTTCCACTCTACCTAAGGTCAAGATGAACAGCAAACTATCAATGCTAATGGCACTGGGAAATAAAAACTCATTTCTTCAGGCCATAGAAGGATCCAATTTAAAAAATTACCTTTGCATATTGGAGGATGCCTCATTCTTCATAATCTGGGAAACTAGCCAGTGAGGAGAACCCAGCAGTTGAACTGAGTTAAGATTCTCTCTGCCTTCTACTTCCACATAGCAAACATATTTCACTGGATCTCAGACTAAAGACCTCTTTGTTAATTTTACCTCAAAAAATTTCATCTTTCCTTTTCTTGTATTTCTCTTGTCCCATTTTGGTGTAAAGGTAGTTATACCTTCATAAAATAAAACTCATGGCTTTCCTCCCTCTCCTTTCTCTGCTTGTAATTGTAAATCTCTTAAAATTTAGGATTATCATTTCTTTAAAGGTTTTTTAAAAGGCAGCATAAAACTTTCTGTACCTTCTCTTTTTGTAAGTGAAGAAAGGAGTATTGGCAGAGTCCTGAGTACTTTCCATTTCTTGATTGGGTATTGGTTCATCCTTTTTTTTTTTTTTCTGCAACTTTGTTAACTTTTGTTTTCTAGGAAAATATACACTGTTTTCAGTTTATTGGTAAAAAATTCTTTATACTATTCATCCATAATTTTAAAAGTCTCTGATATTTCTCTAGTTATGTTTCTTTATTTACTCACATCTCTTTCTCTCATATTTTCATTCTCTGTGAGTTTCTCTGTCAATATTTAAAGAACCTATTTTTATCGACTTTTCAAAGAAACAGCTTTGGGTGTTGAAAGTTTTTGTTTGCTTCCTCTTTGGGTGGTTTATCTATTTTTGAACTTGTTGAGTTGAATACTGAATGCTTAATTGACTTGTTTTTAATACTTTTATGTAAATACATTTTCATAATTCCACTTTAGGCGCAGGCTGGCAATTGAAAATTTCCTGGGTTTGAATCTCTGCTCTGTCACTAGCTATATAGTCTTGGACAAGCTATTTCACTGAAGCTCTGTGCTTCAGTTTCCCCTTCTTGTTGTTCAAATCAATTATTCATTATCCTTATTAATGTTTTAAATGCTTGATCCATCATTATCTCAGAGAGATGTCTTAAATTCTCCCAGTTTGGGGATTAACATATCTCAAGGCTGTTTTTTTGGAGGGCGAGGGGGCAATACATACAAGTACATGATGATTCTGTCCTCCTGGTAGACAATTCCTTATCTTAATAGTATATCCCTCTTTTTGCATTAAATTATATATTTGCAAATATTAATATTATTATACAAAATTTGGTTTGTTTAGAGTAGATGTTGACAGATTTGTATTTTTCTGTATCTTCATCTTCAAAGACACCAAGTTAGTGAATGGCAAAACCAGTTTTATTCCTAGACCCAGTCCTTTGTTCTTTTTTCCTGGCCATGATACATCCTAAGTCTACCTTCTTTCATGAATCAGCTGTCACTCTTCACTGTGAGGCCTCTGCCAAAACCTCAGCCTATAGTGACTGCTTCCTCCTCCTCTGAATGCTCAATGCCAGCAGTACTTATTCAGTCCTGAAAATGTTCTCTTCTAGTGTTGTATGTGCATCTATCATGGAAGTCCCTTAAAAGCTAGAATAGGTTTTTAAAAAATTATTTATTTATTTATTTTTGGCTGCGGTGGGTCTTCATCACTGCATGCAGGCTTTCTCTAGTTGTCGCAAGTGGGGCTATTCTCTAGCTGCGGTGCTCAGGCTTCTCATCGAGCTGGCTTCTCTTGTGGAGCACAGGCACTAGGGTGCGTGGCTCAGTAGTTGCGGTGTGTGGGCTCAGTAGCTATGGCTCTCAGACTTAGTGACTCCACGGCACATGGGATCGTCTGAGACCAGAGATCAAACTGATGTTCCCTGCTTTGAAAGGTGGATTCTTAACCACTGGACCACCAGGGAAGTTCCTAGAATAGGGGTTGTTGATCAAGTTTTAGAAACAGAGAACTAATTGAAATTAAAAAGTGCTAATTTGGGGTTTGTTAGGACTGCAGGATACATAGATTCAAGGAGCAGTTGAATTGTGTTCTGCCAGACTACAAAATGGCTTATAAGGGTAGAAAACTGAAGATNACTCTCACATCCGTACATGACCACTGGAAAAACCATAGCCTTGACTAGACGGACTTTTGTTGGCAAAGTAATGTCTCTGCTTTTTAATAGGCTATCTAGGTTTGTCATAACTTTCCTTCCAAGGAGTAAGCATCTTTTCATTTCATGACTGCAATCACCATCTACAGTGATTTTGGAGCCCCCAAAAATAAAGTCTGACACTGTTTCCACTGTTTTCCCATCTGGTACAGTTCAAATAGAGCTCAAGTTCTCATGGTGTGGAGATGTGTCTGAGACCAGATCCTCAGTGGCCACCTGACTTCATTTTTGTATGCCTGAAGTGTAGTTAATCCATTGCAATTTCAATTTGTTATCAAGATTATATATCTTCTGCTAGTGACTCCAAAATTATTTAAATAAGGAGGCTTTAAGATGCAATCTGGTCAGGAAAAGAGTGCCTAGGAGACTTGACTGGAACTTGAATTTGCATAGCAGACATACTATTTTTATTTGTAGTGATTGGGGGGTGAGTGTTACAGAGTTGGGAAGAGGTTAGCTATAGTCCCACATACCATCCTTTAAGCCACCACTGTCCTTGCCTACGACGGTGATTTCCAACAAATCAAAATTACCATGGGAGTCAGATTTTTAAAAAATACTTATTTTTAGGTCCTATTCCAGAGCCACTGAGCTAGAATCTCTTGGGTAGAGTCCGAGATTCTAGTGTTTAAGAACGTCTGCTGGGAAATTCAAGCTGAAGGTATCTTAGCACCTTCTTGGCCGGTAGTAACTTCTTGTAAATACAGGGTGTGCATCCAATCTGGAAACATAAGCAAACACATAAAAAATGCTTTAATTGCTACTGTATATTACAATATACAATTAAGTGATAATTCTGTTTCCCAACACCTATTGCTACTGTTAGATTAATTAAACAAGGAGACCATTAGACTGAGGTAGCTTTAATATCACACCTTAGTAGCCTATGTAAGCAAACCAAAACCTAAGGCTGAAATGCATCCAGCTGAAAAAATCAAAACCTAAGGACAGCCTATCACAAACAGCCAAACTAGGCTTCCCTGCATAAGACAACCGCCTAACACTATAACCAATCAAATCATTTTCTTGCTTTTCTTCCAACTTTTCTCTATAAAAGTCTTTCCCTTAACTTCTGTCTGTGAAGTGATTCCTAACCATTTCTGGTTTGATATGGCCAAGTTCCAGTCAATTTTTGCTCAAACTTTTTATTTTTATTTATTTATTTTGTTTTTGCTCAAACTTTTTAAATTTTTAGTATGCCTCAGTTTATCGTGTAAGACTACAGAGAGCTTAGTGTAAAATATGCTCTAGTCAAACTGATTTTGTTGTTATTGCTTAGTTGCTAAGTCATGTTCAACTCTTTGGGACCCCATGAACTGTAGCTATCAGACTCCTCTGTCCATGGGATGTCCCAGGCAACAATACCGGAGTGGGTTGCCATTTCCTCCTCCAAGGGATCTTCTCCACTTAGGGATGGAAACCACCTCTTCTGCATTGGCAGGGGGATTCCTTACCCCGGAGCCACCAGGGAAGCCCAAGTAAGCTTTTATTTTTTGTTATTCATTGTGAAGGATATAAAAGAGGTATGAAATAATGGAAAATAACACAAAAATGTTGGGTTGGCCAAAATTTCGTTTGGGTTTTTCCATACCATCTTGTGGAAAAACCCAAAGAACCCAAATGAACTTTTTGGCCAATCCAGTAATAATGACTACCATCTATTGAGCACTTAATACATGTCATGCACTTTATTAAATGCTCTACATGCACTGTTTCATTTATTATTTATTAGACTTAACCTTCTGTGGAGACTGTAATCAGAACCAACTTATCCATTATGCTCACTAGGTACAATGCCTAGGACCCACAAGGCTTTTAGAGGTCCATGAAAATGTTTAAGTTTCTTTTAGAATCAGAAGGGAAAATAAAGGAATATAATCTTCCATGGATATTAGTTTTTCTCACAGCCATAAAATGTAATTTATAATATTTTTTATGGAGTAAGCATCCATGAGCTTACTGAGCTTACATGGAATAAGCATCCATGAGCTTACAAAAGCAAAATGCCTTTGGGCCTCAGAAAGTCATAATGTAGCCCTTGCTATAATCATTCCCACTTAACAAATAAAGAAACTGAGGCTTAATCAAGTGGAGAAATAAAACATGCCACAGAGCAAGAAATGGTAGAGATAATTTTGGATATAGCTCTGAGGGACTCTACTGATGACCCTTTTAATTACTACACTATACATTAGACAACATTATGTAGCAAGAAGCTCACACCAAATTTGGAAAACAAATTTGTTTAATACTAACCAATTAGAAAATACTTCAGGGAAAGGAAAGAATATAATTAACTGCCCAAATTCAGGGACAGATCCATATTACCTAGACCTCAGGTTTTACAACTTGAAAGATCTTCTTTCAGAAAAAATAGTAAAGTATAAATAAAATTTAGGCCTACAGTTTTTGGAGGGAACTGTCCCAAGAAGGGAGCCTTCAAACGGAAGCCTCACTGTGTGTGTGTGTGTGTGTGTGTGTGTGTGCGCGCGCGCACGCGCTCAGTCACATCAGTCATGTCCGACTCTTTGCTAATCTATGGACTGAAGCCTGTCAGGCTCCTCCGCTCATGGAATCTCCAGACAAGAATACTGGAGTGGATTGTCATGCCCTCCTCCAGGGGATCTTTCCAACCCAGGTGTTGAACCTGCGTCTCTTACATCTCCTGCATGGCAGGCAGGTTCTTTACCACTAGTGCCACCTGGGAAGCCTGGAAGCCTCATTAGCCCCATGGCAAAGCCATCTCATCTAAAATGTCCTTGCACCTGAAGAAGGCCAGACAGGAATGAATCAGTGTCAGCCAGGAATATCAGCAGAGAATTTTAGGAGGAGATGGAACTTTGAAGTGTGGCTCTGACTGGGCACCCTGAGTGTAAAGGCAGTGGGGGGAGTGTGAACACTGTCTGTTCAGGGGAGGACAGAAAATGCCAGCTGCCTGAAACCCACAGTGATGCTGGCCAGAGGGGAGCCACTGGGTTTGCTGAGGAAGGCAGTACCTATTTGAAATGCCAGGATGGAAAGTCTGCTGGGAATGTTTGTACATTCCTCGGTCTGACAGCCTGACACAGTGAAAGGCATCAAAAAGATGAGAAATCAGACTTCCCTGATGTCCAGTGACTAAGACTCTGTGCTTCCAATGCTGGCGCCCCAGGTTCAATCCCTGACCAGGAAACTAGATCCCACATGCTGCAACTAAGAGTTCTCATGCTGCGATGAAAGATCCTGCATGGTGCAATAAAGACTGAAGACCCTGCATGTCACAATGAAGATCCAGCACAGCCAAATAAATAAAAATAAATCATTTTTTAAAAAGAAAAAAAAAGAGAATGAGAAATCTGGTGCCAAGGGCAGGACTCTTAGGAGGGGTGGAAAGAGGCAAAGAGATCTAATTGAAGGACTATTGTGGGTTTATTTTAATGAGTGCCTTATAAATTATGGGTGGCAGAGAGAAAGGAGGAATGAAATAGAGAAAGAAAGAGACCAAGAATGAAAAAAGATCAATCAGGCAAATGTGAGGACTAGACGGGGCTAAGAGTCAGAAATAATTTTTACATTCTGAGCCTGGTCAGTTAAAGGAATAGCTCTGGGACTGCCAGAAATGTGGTGGTTAGATGCGGTTCTAGAATAGCTAAATCCAGCTATGCCAAAAACTCGAACTAACTGGGCTACATGCATCCCTGGGGGAAGCTGAGTCCTGGGACAGGGAAGTATCCTGAAAGAACTTGAAGGGGTTCTGCTGGTGTATTAGCCTTTGCAGTCTTTTCCACATACCAACTCCCCATCGGATCAACACATTCTTTCTCCATTATGTTATCAGCATTTAGAACCTCCAGTCAGGTCTTACCCTTCTAACTGACTTAGAAGCATTTTGCTTTTAACGTGGCTTTTGTTGAACACTATTATGAGATGAGCTATAATTTCACTCTCAGGGTTTCAGATGAGCTATAATTTAACTCTCAGAATTTCAGCCTATCCTGTGCCTCTCTCCAGGTGAGTGGTGAAGAAAACTAGTCACAATGAAAATAGAAAACATAAAGAGAATAAATATGAGAGGGCATTACCAAGATATACAAAACGGGGATATGGAATTAGAAAGAGGGTGGAGTCTTCCGATGATTCAAAATACATTGACTGCATACTCGTTCCACGTCAAGCTCTTTGCTTGTAAAAAAAGATATTACTGTGAAAGAGATGTGGTGTCTGCTTTGACGGTATGTGAGTTTTCCAGGATGGCTGTTTGGGAAAGTGACAGGGTCAGAGAGAGGATTAAAACAGCAGACTCTAGAGGGTGGGGAGCAAGATGATGAATTTAGTCAAATTTGATGTTCTGAAAAAGGTATGCTATGTCTAATACACAATTGCAAACATGGAAATGGTGTTCAGGACAAAAGGCAAGGCAGGGGATACACATGTTAGGGCAGAAAAACCATAAAGTCAGTGCCAGAGGCAGACATAGAAGATGAAACTATTGTTTCCAAGGCTAATAGGGGAGTTATCAATGGAGGGTGTTTTTTTAAATATTTATTTATTTGCCTGCACCAGGTAGTAGTTTAGGCAGTTGGGATTTTCAGCCTTTGTTGTGGCACGTGATTAGTTGGGGCATGCAAACTCTTACTTGTGGCATGTGAGATCTAGTTCCCTGACTGAGGATTGAACCTGGACCCCCTGCGTTGGGAACACCAAGTCTTAGCTACTGGGTCACTAGGGAAGTCCCCAGTGGAGGTTTTCAATAGAATGACAGTTGCTTCAAAACTAAAAAAATGATACAGAATTGTCAAAAGAAAAGAAAAGTGTTAAAGAGTGGTGAATATAGCACAGACAAGTTAGCCAAACTTGGAGGAGGATCAACATCAGATCTTGCTTTTTGAGACAGAAATTTCTCTGTAAGTACTTCTTTACCAACATCCCCAGACGGTGATACATAGATTGTGTAATTCCTCATTTCTAAACATTACCCCATGAATTATTTAGCTATAGTTTCTAAGTATATGGGTTGTATTGGTCATGATAGATATATGACAGATATAGCTATAGATACACAGATTTGACTAGAGAGAAATTTAACACAGAGGATTGATTCTCTGGTGGCCACAGACTGAGAAGGCAATTGGGAACACTGAGGAAATCCAGAGATTAGCAACAGCAGGAATTCATTACCAATTCTATGCCTGCTGAATCAACAGAAGGAGGTGGCTTCATCCAGGCTTAAAGCTGAACCCATCTGGAGTGAGTTAGAGCCAAAGTGGGGACTGCCCAACAGAAGCTGGGAGCCAAGAGAGACAATCCAGAGGAACCAAGAAACATCCTTTCTTTTCCGTTTCTTCCTGCTCATCTAGGTCAGTGCTGTCAGGGCCTCCCACTATCAGAGCCCAAGGAAGCCTGGGAATTGCAGTTCTCTTTCACACGGGGAAGAGTAAGGGAAAACAGCAGAGGAAGGGATGATCTTTTTGTTACTGATTTGTAAATTTATTATATGGTGATCAAAGATTGTAGTCGATTTGATAATAATTATCTGTTATTTATTGAAACTCATTTTGTGGCCTATGACATAGGTTTTGTAAGTGTTCCAAGTTTTATTGAAGAGTATGTATTCTCTATTTTGTTTGGGGGCAGTGCTCCACAAATGTCTGTCAGACTTGATTTGTTAGTTGTATTGTCCACACCATAAAGACATTAACATGTCTTTATCCATACAACTATTCTGATGGTATGAAGTAGGTTTTTGAAAGAAGTTTGTTAAAAATCTTTCATTGTGATCATGGATTTATTAAATTCACATGCCAGTTACATGAAAAATAAGGAACATGAATGGAAATAGTTGGAAGGCTTGTACACCAGGCCAGGTGAGAAATGATGGTATCTTAACCTAAGATGGTAAGAATATGGAGAGAAAGAGAAAGAAATTAATGCTGATTTCTAGGTTTCTGGCTTGGGAAACTGGGTGAATGGGGGTATAGTTCACATATATGGACTACCACTGACCAGGGATCTTTGCTTGAGCAAATTACAGAAATTCTCTGGACTCAGTTTTCTTATTTATAAAAATGGGTACAATATATTTTATTTCATAGGGTGATTGTGATGATAAAAAGAGTTAATATATGAAAAGTATTTAGCATCTAGCTAAATAAATCTTCTATATAAGCTTTTATTATTATCAACTAATGTATGGTTAAAGAAGTGAAGGATTGGGTTTAAGGTGGGAAATCAAGATTTCCTAGTGAAGCTCATTATGTTTGAGTTGTTTTGTCCATTACCTTTTAAAAAAATACTTATTTTTATTTATTTAGTTAGTTGCACTGTCTTAGTTGCGACATGTGGGATCGTGGATCTTGGTTGCGGCATGAGAGCTCTTAGTTGTGGCATGCAAGATCTAGTTCTGTGCCCAGGGATCAAACCTGGGCCCCATGCTTTGGAAGTGTGGAGTCTTAGCTACTAGATACCAGGGAAGTCCCTATAAGTTACCTTTTAGTAAAGAGAGTCTTGAGTAATCTCGGCAAACACTGTTTAGGAATGAAAGAGGACAGACTTGAGAAAAGACCACTGTAAGGTCCAAGGCCACCTACAAGAGGTGGCAGAATCAAGGCAAGGAGAGTAGACAATAGCTTCAGGAGCAAATAAGGGTCAATTCAGAATGAGATGGAATAACTGAATAACAGCCCACAGGAACTTCCCTCTTATTTTTGTTTTGCAGTGCTACATTGTTTTGTTGTCTGGCTTGGTTTAGCTAAGGAAGCCAGTCATCCTCAAAAGACTGCAGAAGAGCAGAGCTCTGGGGAAAAAAAATGGTTGCAATAAACAGAGCAACATTAATTTACCTCGTGTGTGATTTATCATAAGATTAGTAAATAGGTTACTCTAGCAACAGGTTGTTGAGAAGCCAGTATTAAACTTGTGGTACAACTGGAAAAAGTAATTAACCTGACACATATTCATGAACACGTTTGTTTCCGGCTTTGAGCTATTGTGTGGAATAAAAATGGAAATTATGAATTCCATAGTATGCACTGCCTTGGCAGATTTTAGTGTGTGATTATGCATGACCACACCTCTCCCACAAGTTTGCACAGGCTTAGGAATTTTCTTATTAAGGTTGTTACACAATCTGCAATTTAACAAGGGCATAGGAATGAATGTAAAAAGTATTCCCAGGCATATTCATCTTGATTTATAATTATGTGTCCCCCTTCACTGGGTGAGTGCCAAATTCTTTTTTTCTTGTCTGTAGTGTTAAGAAGGAGAGCTTTGCTTTAAGCTTATCGTAATTGAAGTCATCTTTCATATATCAGTTTTAGATTGATCTCACATAAATTGTAACTAGATTCAATAACGAAGCCATTATCACACTTCACATAGATAGAAAATGAAAAGCAAGTTCTGTGTGAAGAGAGTTAACATGTACTTTGACTCTCTTGCCCTTCTGTTAGTGGGCCAACACAACCAGTGAAGGGATATTTTAAGGCTTAAACCCAATATATGGAGAACTAGAAAAGGGATCATTTTGGAAGTTGGATAGCAGATGAATACATAGGGATAGAATAAAAAGAGCTGAGAAGGTTGAATTCAATCAAACAATAGATAATACTAAGAAGGAGTCTGATTTACAGAGAATCAAGGACTTAGAACTTGTAGGACTTCCCTACAAGTCCAGTGGTTAAGACTCTGGGCTTCCAGTGCAGGGGGCACAGATTCCACACCTGGTCGGGGAACTAAGATCTCACATGCCACAAAAAGCAACCCAAAACGGGGGAGGCTCATCTATTCACTCGTTGAACCCTCACTGTGGGCCATCATGTGCCAGGCACTGAGGACAAACAATAGTTGGGATGACCTCGTCCTTTTTCTTGAGGAGCTTAAAACCTCAGGAAGAAGAAGGTTGGGGTGGGGGATGCTGCAGTAGTTGGGGATGCCTTCTTGGAAGACAAAGTAACTTTTGCAAACCTGTCAAGAAGAGAATAAGCAGAAGTAAAGGAGGGATAAAGAAGAGATCCCGCATGCCATTTGGCAGCAAAAAACAAAACAAAATCAATTAAAAAAAAAACCCTAGAAACTAATGGCAGCAGGTCCTTATGGAAGTGAAAATAAAAGGCATATAGATTGAATAAGGAGGATTGTTAGGAAGACTGTTTTAGAAGGAACTGGATCCTTAGGCTCCTCCCCAGATCCAAGCAGCATCCAGAAACTGCCCCTTCCGTAACTGGCAGAGTGATGGTTTATCTTTAAAATGAAATAAAATAGATGGTCTACATGGAAGAATATCAGTGCAATTGAGGGCGAGAGAGCAGGACTGTCAACAGGGGAATAAATGAATGTACACATATTTGCTTTGGAGACATAACATGTGATTTTTCACAATTCTGAGTCCAGGACACAGAAAACTATATTTTCACCCTCCTGACAGGACACTGAAAGAGCCTTCTTTTGGAATATGGCCAGTCCATGATGAAAACCATGACATTGGAAAGATACTGACATCAGAAATTTCCCCATTAAACAGCCCACCATGATGCTCATAAACGAAAACTCACATCAGACTAGCTCATCTCTCACATCCTCAGAGCTTCCAGTCAATATTTTAGTGTCACACACTTAAATATTGTCAAGTACAAAGACTATGTATGAGAAATCTGAGGAAAGCTAACCTGGAAGATACAAAATAAAATAAAGAGAAAAAAATAATGTTGAAAAAATAAAGACACAATAAAGGTCAAAAACATCACAAAGTGAAATGACTGCTAACTATGAAAAAGAACAGAATTCTCAGTTCAGTTCAGTTGCTCAGTTGTCTCCGACTCTTTGCAACCCCATGGACTGCAGCACGCCAGGCTTCCCTGTCCATCAACAACTCCTGTAGTATACTCAAACTCATGCCCATTGAGCCGGTGATGCCATCCAACTATCTCATCCACTGTCACCCCCTTCTCTTCCCACCTTCAATCCCTCCCAGCATCAGGGTCTTTTCCAATGAGTCAGCTCTGCGCATCAAGTGG